GTGGGGGGGCAGCATCTGTGACAGTGGGGAGGCAGAGGTGGGATGGGGTCATCCTGGGGGGGCAGTGGGGGGCAGCATCTGTGATACCGGGGAGGCAGAGGTGGGATGGGGTCAGCTGTAATTCACAAGCCATCTAAGCTGGGGCTGGGCAGGGATGTGGGCACGGGGTGAGGAGGAGTCGGGGTGACAGACATGATGGAGGCCCCATCTCTGACTCCTGGCCTGCACAGCGTGGGGGACGTGTATTATACATAATGGCATGGAGCAGGGGTCAGCAAACTTTCTCTGTAAGTGGCCAGATAGTAATATTCAGTCTTTGCCGGCTGGACGGTCTCCATCGGAGCTAGTCAGTTGGGCCGCTGTAGCGGGAAGGCAGCTGTAGACGATATACACGTGAATGGGCGTGGCTGGGTGCCCATGAATCTTCATTTCTGGACACCGAAAGTTGAATTTCATATAATTTTCATGTGTCACAGAATATCATTCTTCTTTTGATTTTTATTTCCCCCCAATCATTTAGAAAATGTGGAAACCATTCTTAGCTCCCTGGTCTTACACAAACGGGCGGTGGGTCAGGGCCGGCTCAGGTTGTGCGGACCCGAGCACAGAGGCAGGAAATGCTGGAAGTGAAGAGTGTGGGGCTCCGCATCGCGGTTTCTACTTATGAGCTCGCCGACCTTGGCTGGGCTGTTCCTCCTGACGGCATGTCCGTTTCCACAGACGCCAGAGAGGGGGTCCCCGGCGTTTAGTATTAATGCGCTAGCGCGCGTCAGGGCTCAGAACAGTGACCACGGCCATCCTGCGGAGCTGGCTGATGCTGCCGTGGGGGTTCCTGCACCTGCAGGGGCCGTGCGGGGGCCATGGTTCCCTCTGGGAGGAGGGGGAAAATGCTACTGCCTCAGTTTCTTGTGGCTGCTGTAACAAAGTAGCACAAACCAGGTGGCTTAAAACAATAGACGTTTCTTCCCTCCCAGTTCCAGAGGCCAGAGTCCAAGGCCAGGGTGTGGGCAGGGCTGGCTCCCTCTGGAGGCTGAGGGGGAGTCTGTCTCAGGCCTCTCTCCTGGCGGCTGCTGGCAGTCCTTGGTGTTCCTTGGCTTGTGGCTGCTTTGCTCCCATCTCTGCCTCCGTCTCCACACAGTCTTCTTCCCTCTGTGTGTCTTCACATCGTCTTCCCTCTGTGAATATCTCTGTGTCCAAATTTCCTCTTATAAGGACCCCAGCCATATTGAATTAGGGTCCACGCTAATGACCTCCTCGTAACTTGATGACGTCTATAGAGACCCTATTTCCAGGTAAGGTCACATTTATAGGTACCAGGGGTTAGGACTTCAACGTGTCTTTTGGGGGGATGCAATTTAACCCACAACAGCTACCCCGGGGAGGTGGGATTGGGGCTGACCTTGGAGGCTGGGGAGATTTCAGACCCTGGTGATGAGGAGGGATGGCAGGCAAGGTGGAGGGACCCTTGAGGCCCCAGATCAGTCGGGGCACAATGGGGATTGGGTGTCTGGGGGGACCTGTGCATTGGTGCAGCTTGGGGAGGCCAGGGGCCCCTGTCCTCCCCCACCTTTGTAATCTTTAAGCACCATCTCAGCCTGGATATCAGCTGGCGGGTGGAGGAAGGGAGGGGAGGACGGCGCTCGGTGGTTAGGGGCAGCCATCAGGGGTGGGGGTTGGGAGCCGAGGCTGCGGGCAGATTGATGAGCAGGGTGTGGGGTCAGGAGGCCGACTGGGAGCACGCCTACTCTCTACAGGTCGGACCAGGGGTCTGACTGCAGGTCTTAGCCTCACCCTGGTGACCCGAGCACTGCAGACATGGCTGACATCCTCCTGGCCCTGCCTGTGTGCGTGGGGACCCCCAAGGCCACGGCTCATTCCACGCTGAGGGCAGAAGATGTGAGCTGCACCTCCAGACCAAAGACACCATGGAAACCAAGAGATTTCACCCCCAAAAAACAGATTTCCTGCTTTTCTTGAAAAATGAGGACATCTGGCCAGGGAGTGGATGGAAGGGCACCAAGGCTGCTGGGGGGTGGGGGTCCTGGGTGGAGGTGGCGCAGCCCCCACGACACAGCTGTAAGCCCAGCACATCTGCTCCTTGCTGCCCCCAGAAGACCCTCTGGGCTTTAGCTTGGCGATTTTGCCTCAGTTTCCCTATCTGTAAACTGGGCATGAGAGCTCAGCCTGGCACACTCACCCTTGCAGGCTAATCTGGGGCAGGAGGGAGAGAGCAGATTCCAGGCCCCTCGTGAGTCTTGAAGGGACGGCAGCTGTGGGCTGGGATCATTTCCAAGCCTGGCCTGGAGCTGGGGACAGCAGCACGCTGAGTCCCAGCTCAGAGGGGACCTTACAGCAAACGCTTTACTCCTTTTCTCCTTTGCAAATTCTGTACCGCCACTGAAGAGTGTGTCTGCCCAAGAAGCTGTTGCGGGTAATGCCAGTGACAGTCTCGGGGCCAGTAAAGGCCCTCCTGCTTGGCTGTCTGCCTGGCACAGCACAAGTTTCATGCTGGTCTCTGCGTCTGACTTCCCGATGCTTGTTGGACTGTATACAAGAGCCACATGTAGTGGACTGTCACAGATGACCTTCTTGTTCCTTGGGTCTTTAATTAAAGGAAAATGTCAACTGGAAAAAAAAAAAACGGTTACTGTAGGTTCCAGAATAGAAACGAAACACCCAGAGGCCACAGAAAGGAATTCCTGGGTGTAAAATGTTGGTGATCCTAATTCACTGTCACTCAAAAGCAGTCCCCCGAGTCCCTGCTGTGTGCCAGGCCTTGTGCAGGCATCAGGGGAGCCTGGTGCCCAGGACGTGCGGTCCCCCCGTGCCCAGCCTCAGAGCTCTGACACCCCTGACTTGGCTTTCTTGGGCTCGCACCTCTGCAGCTGGCGCTGGGCTGACGGTTTACCTGCCTCAAGCACCCGCGTGAGCTGTGGAAGGAGAGGCTGTGATGGAATCGCTCCTGGATGGGAAGCTCAGAGATGCATTGTCACATGTCCGTGGTCCCCCAGGAAGTGGGTGGCAGAGCTGTGTTAGAACTGGGTGTCGGCAGAGAGCCAGGGAAGCCCCAAGAAGGGGCAACTCCCCTGAATGTGGGAGTCTTCGGGCGATGTTTGAGCCGGCACCAGGGCCTGGAAGGGCATTCCTGGATGAGGGAACAGCATGCACAAGTGACAGAGGTGGGAGGCAGCCTGGCCTGTCCCAGGACTCCCATGACGCAGTCTGGCTGGCCTTTAGCGGGTGGTGGAGAGAGGTGGGAAAGCTGAAGAGAAGGGGGAGATCAGAGGCTCGTGCTCTCGTCTGAGGGAGAGCTGCTGCGGCGGGCACCAAGGCAGTAGCCATGGGGCGGCCTGGAGGGGGCCAAGCAGGACAAGTGCAACAGGTCCAGAGTGGTCATCCAGGAGCAGTGCCCCAAAGCCCAGTACCTTTGTGATCCGTCTTTTGCTATTCCTTTGTATAGTTTATGGCTGGGAGGATAGGACCACAGTTTCAAAGAGCCGGAATAAGTGCAGACTGTCCCTGATCTGTAGGGTGCCCCCAAGGGAGGCTCCCCCCACATCTGCAGCCAGGACCCCAGGTGCCGTTTCAGCTCCAAGCACGTACTGGCCGCTGGCTTGTCAGGCTGGAAGAAGGAAGCCCTGGTGGACAGTGTGTGTGTTCAGGGATGGCCACACTCCAATTTTAGGAGCACCCCTGCCCTGCGCCTGTCCCCGAAGCGCCAGGAAAACAGGCCCACCTGGCCCCTCAGCACAGACAGCTGGGTCTTCCACCCAGGACCCGGAAAACGTGTCTCACTGACACTTGGCTCTTGAGTTTCTTCTTGCCTCCCTGGAAGAACGCCATCTTGAGAGTGATGTGGGAGCCCCTGAAGCACCCTTCACCAGCCGTTTGCACTTAGGTGTGGCCAGGCCTGTCCTGGGGCAGGATTCAGATGCTCTGTCACACTTGCCACTGTAGATTTTCCTCATGTCCTTCCTTCTGCCTCACACCTGAGTACATGTGTGACCCCGGTGTGTGACACTCTGAGGCCCAGTGCTCGCATGTGTCTTGTTCGGCTCTTTTCCTTTAGCTCCAGGCAGGGCACCTGCACCTACCACGTGCTTCATATGTGCTGGTTGGACATACAGATGTGGAGTGAAGAGCCTGTTCTAGATGGGCTCATGTGCATCCACGTGCATGCACACATGCATACAGAGACACGAGTGTGCACACACACACATGTGTATGCAGCCATGCTTGCACACATGGGCACAGACACTAGGCTTCATATGCATGCACTCACACATTGTGCACATGTACCTGAATGCACATGTGTGTGCATGTGCCATGCTTGCACATATGCACACGTGTGCGCACACAGAGCTCTTTTATGATGCTGTGGCTCTCTGGTGGGAGAGAGGTCAGAGGAGGTGCTCTGCAGGGCCTGCAGGGGGAGTGGGTCCTCCCGTCCAACACCCAGGGTGGACGTGGCAGGAGAGACTGCCCTTGAACTGACCTTGGTCCCGAGGGGGAGCTGGACCTGTGGGGATGTGGGAGGCCGAGGGAAGGAGGGCTCCCCACAGGACAGTGGTGAGGAGTTCTTGTGATCAGAAATGGAAAGGGGACTTTCCAAGGAGACCGTGGCTTTCAGAGAGGGCTGACAAGGAGGGTGGTGTTCGTGGGTGGTGGGGGTTGCTAGTAAGGGGCACAGATTCCAGGCACCATGGGCGCCTGCCACTCTCTGCAGGTGTACGTGAAGATCTCGGTTCCTAAGGGCATCCAATTTATTGGACATCCTGGCAGACGTCATCTGACCAAGAAGACATGCATGGTCCCTGGGGAGGCCGAGTCTACCTGGGTGGTTCTGTCCTTCAGCGACCTGGGGATCAGCAACATCACAGGTGAGGGCCCCATGCTTCTTCTGGCATCCTCCACCTCTAGGCCACCAAGGGGTCCAGGTGCTGACCCCAAGTGTGGGCAAGGGGTGGGTAGGGCAGAAAGTGAGGTCAGGACTGTCATGAAGGACAGGATGGCAGCCCGGGGATGCAGGCCAGAGGGAATGGTCAGGAGGTGGGGGGAGGTGGTCCTGGGGAGTGGGGTCTGGGGCCTCACCTTGCAGAGAGTTGGGCTTCTAAGGTGCCAAACGAACGTAGCACACACATGTGTGCATACTCAGACACACAGACGCGTACACAAACATGCACACACAAGTGCATGCACGAAACACACATGCATATGTATGCATGCACACAACACACACAGAAACATGCAGCACAGGTATGCACACATGCACAAGCATATGCACAGACATGCATGCTCACACACGTGCACGTCTGCACCCCTGTGACACGGTAGTGGGGGCAGCTTCCACCGTGGGCGGGGACCTGTTCTGAAAGCAAGCACCGAGCACTTGGATCCCCGCAACCAAAGCCCTGGCTTATGGAGGAACGAGCTGCTGCCGGGATGGGAGGCCTGTCAGACACCTGGAGGAGAATCACGCCGACAGGAGTGTCCCCGTCAGGAGGAATCACATCAGCCGCAGCGTGATGGCTGAGGTAAGCTGCGTCCTCACTGGCGGCACTTGGCCAGGGCCTGATTCTCTCATCCGTGAGGTGGGGGTCCAGCTGGAGTGTGTGGTCCCTGCCCGAGCCAAGGCCAGGGCAGCCCCCACGGGTCCCTCCAGGGCTTAGGGCAGGCGAGGGGGCTTCCCTGCTGGAGGGCCGCGGCATCTCCACCGTGCAAAGTGGGCTTTGGTGAAGCGACCTGGGATGGTCGACGGCTGCAGAGAAGTGGCCCCCTGGCCCCCGGTTGACCATCTCGGAAGGCAGCATGCCTCTGTCTCCTGACTCTGTTTGTCAGGCAATTGTAGGGACTGTGACCCAGCATTTGGAGGTTGTCCTTGGAATGCACATGCAGGAAGGACACAGCCTGCAGCAGAGGGGCTCAGGCGTCCGGGTATCGTAGACCCCCCGGCTGTGAATCCAGGATATGCCACTTACGTGTGGGGCTGAGTGAGTGTCTTGGTGTTTCCACCCTGTTCCGTAAGACAGGGTGCTCATGCTCACCCCACAATGTGCAGAGGGCCAGAGAGAATGCACATACCTCATGATGCTGGGCGCGTGATAGCGATGATGCCCGTCTTTTTGGGGCTGCTCAGAGCATCAGAGCCCAGAGCGCTGGCGAGACGTTGTCTGGTGCTGCACCCAGAGCACTCGGCAGCCCCAGTGAGGGTCCTCACAGCAGCCCCAAGTGTCTGCCCCTCTCCAGCAGCCCAGCTGCAAACAGCTGTCGCCCCTGCTGGCTGTGGTCCTGGCAATGCTGACCACTGACGGTTTCCATCAGCGCCTGGAGCCGCACACGCCCTGGGCAGAACGCCCGGAGGCGGACGGGTCCTCACTGCGGCGCTGTTGACGTGACATGATGGATTCCTCTGGGACAAGCGGGATGAGGACTGTGGTCTCCAGGAGCCAGCGGGATGGGATGGCCACAGGAAGTGCAGGGACCCCCGGCGACCCTCGGCTCGGCTGAGCACGCTCCCTGGGCCGCCGCCTGCCCCCGCCGCGGCCTGAGGAGGCAGCAAGCCCTACAGAGCGGCCAGGCCGACCTGGAGGCCCGGAGCTCTTGCCTCCTTCGTCTGCAGGAGGAATTCCTAAATGCACAGAGGGGGCTCTCCAGGCCTGCTGTCCTGAGCCTCTCCTCCCGGCCGCGCTGTCCAGCAGTCCCCTGCGTCCGCAGCCTCTGCTGTCCAGCTTCACGCAGACAGTGCTGGGAGACAGAGGTATGGTTTAGGCAGCAGAAACCTTGAAATGTCCATACAAAAAGTGAAGCATGAATTAGAAAGTGGGTTTATGAAATGCGGCGCCGGGCTTGTGGCTTGATAAAGCAGCAGAACCCTCTCCCGCCTCGTCCGGGTGGAGCGCTCCGGGGGCGTGGTTCGCTTGCTCCACCCGTTATTCAGTGAACCCTCACGAGACGCTGCGTGCCTCCTGCCAGGAGGAGCTGCACAGGACAGAATGCCTTTCCTCAGAGGCACGTTGTCTGGGAGCAGCTGATGGCCGGTCACGGGCACCGTACCCAGCAGAGGAGGGGCCAACGCCATCCTGCCTGGCTCCCCAGCCCACCCAGGGGGCTGCAACCCTCTGCACTTCTGCGGGAAGGCCGAGAGCCTTCCATCACCCAACGTGCGTCAGGAAGTTCACAGGAGAGGAGGAGGCCGACGAATGCAGACCCACGGGGAGAGCCCAGAGGGCCATGAGTGTGATGGGAGGCCTGGCTCCCCGGCCAGGGGCGGGCTCTGGAGAGAGAGCCCTGGGTTCAAACGAGAGTCGCTGGATGGTTAAATGAAGGTGTGCTGGACAGCATCTCCAGGGGCCCGGCCCGTGTGAGCCGTTGTCATGCAGGCATTTATAATGGTCAACAGGGATATGCTTTCCGTTTTAGGAAATGTCCAGCAGCTGACAAATGGATAAATGAATGTGGTACAGTGGGATACAGTTCCAAATACGACGGAGTGTTACTCAGCCATGATGAGGACTGAAGCTCTGACACTCACTGCACCGTGGATGAACCTCAGAGACCTCATGCTGAGTGAGAGAAGCCAGACACAGACGGCCATACAGTGTGTGATCCCATTTACAGAAGTGTCCAGAACAGGCAAATCCATAGAACAGACAGGAATGGAGCACTGATATATGCTGCAAGGTTGCAGAAAAGTCCCGCTGGAGGTAGTAATAGTGACGTCTTGGAGGGACCAGTTCTGGAACCTGCCAGGAGCCAGCATGAACACAGAGGTGAAGGAGATTGGGACCCAGGAGCAGCGGAAAGCCAGGGCATTGTGGAGGAGAAGGGCACTGAAGAGAGGCTGGCACCAGGGTCCCTGGGAGCAGAGCTGGCAGAGGAGACGGGCCAGCAGCCATGAGCAGCCCCATTGGCTGCTTCTTAGGCTATGCAGGGGGAAGAGGGGGGTGTCCAGGAGGCCCTGGATGGTCAGCCAGAACCAGAGGGGTGTGCTCACCATCAGCAGAAGGGCTCAGGGTCTGTCTCTATGGATTTGCCTGTTCCGGACATTTCATACAAGTGAACCACTGTGTGGTCTTTCGTGTCTGGCTTCTCTCAGCATAATGTTTTTGAGGTCTATCCACATTGTAGCATGTGTCAGAGCTTCATTCCTTTTTTATGGCTGTATAACATTCCATTGTATAGATACACTACATTTTGTTTATCCATTCATTTGTTGATGGACTTCTGGGTTATGAGTCACTTTTACGATTGTGCAGCTGTCAAAAGCCACCATGGGCTTACGATGGCCAGGCACCGTCCAGTGACCCCAACCCTTTTCCCACCAAGGGGCCAAGCTGGTAGATCGGGGCAGTACTGAGGCCCAAGCAAAACTTCAGCAGCTCAGCATCTTCCAGAAAGGTGTCCTTGGCCTCTTGGTGCCGACTTTGGGCAGTTTTGCTAAAGGATTGCCAGCAAGGTGCTCAGGGTGAGCATCAGGGTGTGGCTGTGGGTGAGGCACCACACTGGTGCAGACCGCCGGGCAGGATCCTGGGTTGATAGCAGGAAGTGGACATGGTCCAGACAGGTGCCTCCTGGACTCATCAGTACTGACACAGGATGGATGAGGCCCCTCTTTGCAGCCTCAACGGAGGGCCTGGGGGTGGGGTGGGAGGAGAGGGATGAGAAGATGTGACAGGAGCTGACTGCTCCGTGGCACTGAGAAGACACAGGCCCCCTCTGAAGGACACCCAACCGCACATTGCAGCGAGGTCCGTGCCTTCATCACCCTCATCTAGAGATGACAAAACGGAGGCCCAGAGTGGTTAAGTGAGGGACCCTGGGTCACCCAGCAAAGAGTGGGTATAATTAGTCAGAGGTTCTCTAGAGAAACAAAACTGAGAGGATATATGTATCTCTCTAGGAAGAGATTTATTATAAGGAATTGGCTCACATGACTAAGAAGGCTGAGAAGTCCCACAGTCTGCCGTCTGCAAGCTGGAGACCCAGGAGAGCCAGGGGTGTAGTTCAAAGGCCTGAGCACCAGGAGCGCTGAGGGCCAAGAAGATCAACGTTCCAGCTCAGGCAGTGGATGGAGAGAATTCCCCTCCTCCACCGTCTGTCCTGTTCAGGCCCTCGGTGGACCGGAGGAGGCCCACCGGTCTGCTTTACTCAGTCCACCCACTCGAATGCTGGCCTCCTCCAGAAACGCCCTCACAGGCGCCCCCAGAAAGAAGGGTTAATCAGGGGCTGGGCATCCTGTGGCTCCCTCACGTTGACAAAAAGTGGACCCTCACAGCGGGGCAGTGGGGACCCCAGGAAGCCACCTGGCTGCAGCGACCAGGCATTAACCCTTTGAGGTCTGATCTAAAGACAGGTGGCCCCAGCTTACCAGTGTGGGGGGCTGCTAAAAAAAGTCTGGAAAAGCAAACGCCCCACAGAGGCCGTTCTGGTCAGACAAAACCACCCAAGGTATATTGGGTTAAATTCTGGGCTCCCTCTTTTAGGAGGACAAGCCGCTGTCTTCTGTTATTTGGGGGATGTTGTAGAAGGGGCAGAGGCAGGCGCAGGGGCAGAAGAGACGGGAGACGAGGGATGTGTCGGACAGTGGGACAGAGACCCCGTCCTTGGCAGACCCGGGCGCCCCCTTCTCAGTGCTCACGGCCGTCAGATGGGGCCTCAGATCCTGGCAGCCTTCAGGTCATAGTGTTCCCTGCCCAGAGGGAGAAGCCGGCTGGGAGCCGGGAGGAAGGGGCCGCCGGGAGGGCAGGGTGGGGCTGTGGGAAGCATGACGAGTCTGGGAGCAGTTGGTGAGTTCCTTTGACTAGAGCCTGGGGAAGGGGGAGTGAGCCTCAGTTTCCCCATCTGGGCCTGGGAGGTAGGTGGCCCGGTCCTTCACTGTGCGCCTGTGGTGTTGGCATCACCCTGCAGAGTCCAGACTCGGAAACGCTGCCCTGCACCAACTGCCCCCTCAAGACGCAATTCTCCGCTTCTCTGTTTCAGCCCGAAGGAGCCCCCGTGCGTACACCTACAGCGCTTTCTTCTGTCCCAATGGTGAGTCCCTGCACCCATCCAGCTAGGAGGGGCCACCTGGCCGGGCCAGGACTTCAGCCCTTATCCCCGCACTGTTTCAGCTCTTCCTCTGCTAAATGGACACCCGTCCTCCTTGGGGGCTGAGGACACAACAGTGGAGAACTGAGATGCCCTGGCTGGGGACACTCATAAGCCAGAGTGACGGCCAGGCATCGGCCGTGTAGGAAGAGAACGCACACGATTGCGGGCTGCAGGCGCTAATGAGTAAAGTGGCCGCTGTCAGCAGTAGGCTGTCCTGGCGCTCTGTGGTGAGGAGCCCAAGGCCTGGGGAGTGGAGGTCTTAGAGTCACGTCAGCAGAAGGCTGTGGGGATGAGGGCGACCCCGAACCCTGGCGCAGAGGAGGATGTGGGAATTAAGGTGGGTTCCGGAAGGTGTGGGATCTGGGGTCCGCCTCGATCCCCTGAAATCGACATTATACCTGCACATGATCTGTGAACAGGAAATCGGTACAGAAAGAGAGTGCCCAGTGGGTGCAGAGGCCAGAGAAGGGCCAGTCCACGCCTCTGTCTTGGTGAAGTCTGGGAAATGCTGGGCAGAACCTGAGCCTGGGCTGCCTGTGGAAGGTCTGCCCCTTCCCCGTCCAGCCCCTCCCCGAGGAGCTGTCCAGCTCAGGGCTTGGGCTGGGCCTGGCACTGGGCAGTCACCTCGTGGGCTTTGCCAAGAGGTGGAGCTGGGGATCTGAGCTGGAGGCCCTGGGTGCTACTGACTCCCTAGGAGAAGCATCTCCCCGTTGTTAGGGTGTTCAGCATGACGGGTACCTGGATCCACAGCACACTCCAGACACAGGCTTCTTCCTGACATTTTTTCTCCTTTTTTTCATTAAATAGCAATACATCACATATACACTTAAATGATTTTTGATAAAGGTGCAAAAGCAATTCAGTGGAGGAAGGAGAGCCTCTTCAACAAATGGTGCTAGAGCAATTAGACATCCACTGGCATGAACATGAACGTCCACCTGAAAATCACACCTTATACAAGAATGAACTCAAAATGGATCATGCACCTACACATAAAACTGTAAAACTTTTAGAAGAAAACATGGGAGAAAATCTTTGGAATCTAGGGCTAGCTAAAGAGTCCTTAGACGTGACACCAAAAACTATGATTCATAAAAGGGAACATTAGTAAACAGACTTCATCAAACTGAAAAACTTTTGCTCTGCAAAATATGCTATTGAGAGGAGGAAATACAAGCTACAGACTGGGAGAAAATATTTCCAAACCCACATCCAACAAAAGACTAGTATCTAGAATACAGACGACCCCTGACTCACGATGGTTCCACTTATGATTTTTCGACTTTACGATGGTGCAAAAGTGATACACAGTCAGTAGAAACCATACTTCGAATTTTGAGTTCTGTGTTTTTCCCAGCTAGCGACATGCGGTATGATCATCTCTTATGACGCTGGGCGGCGCAGCGAGCGCAGCTCCCATCAGCCCTGTGATCACAAGGGTGAACTACAGACACACGTACAACCATCCTGTACCCACAACCATTCTGTTTGTCATTTTCAGTACAGTGTTCACTAAATTGCATGAAACATTTAACAGTTCGTTATAAAATAGGCTTTGTGTTACATGAGTTTGCCCAACTGTAGGCTAATGTAAGTGCTCTGAGCACGGTTAAGGTGTATTAAGTGCATTTTCGACTTATGATATTTTCAACTTACAATGGGTTTATCTGATGTAACTCCATCGTTAAGTTAAGGAAGATCTGTATATAAAGAGCTCTCAAAATTCAACCATAAATAAAACAAACAATTCAATTAGAAAATGGGCAAAAAGAAACAGTTCATCAAAGAAGATATACAGATGGCAAATAAGCACATGAAAAGATGCTCGACATCATCAATGATTAGAGAAATGCAAATTGAAACTCAGTGAGTTATGAATACACGCCCATCAGAATGACTAAAATAAAAAAGTGACAACACCAAAAGGTGATGAGGATGTGGAGAAACTGGATCTCTCACACGTTGCTGGTGGGGACGTAAAATGGTGCAGCCACTGCTGGCGGTATCTCGAAACAGTTTGATGGTTTCTTAAGAAACTAAATACGCCACAAACATATCACCCAGCAATTGCTCTCCTAGGCATTTATCCCGAAAAATGAAGACTTAACGTTCACACAGAAACCTGTGCACGCATGTTCATATCAGCTTTGTTTATAATAGCCCCAAATTGGAAAGAGCCTAGATGTTCTTCAGTCGGTGAATAGTTAAACAAATTGTGGCACATCCATACCTTGGAATAAGTACTTGGAATAGTTTTATTGATACACACAGCAACTTGGATGAAGGGGATTGAGTGAAAAAAATCAGTCCTAAAAGGGTACATAAATTATTCCATTTATATGACATTTTCGAAATGACAAAATTTTAGAAATGGAGGTCTTATGAGTGGTTGCTGGGGGTGGGGGCAAGGCAGGGTGTGTGTGTGGTGATAAAAGGGACACAGGAGGGACCCCGTACAAATAAAAGTGGAGAAATCTGAATGAGACCAGTGGATTGTATCAATGTCAATATCAATGTTGTGATACTGTACTAGAATTTTGCAAGATGTTACTATTGGGGGAAACTGAGTCAAGAGTACACAGATCTCTCTATATTGTTTCTTACAGTCACATGTGAATCCACAATTATCTCAGTAAAGTTTAAATTAAAAACATTTTTAAAAAGTAGTACATGTGTACAAATATTGTATGATTCCACTTACATGAAGTACTTAGAGTAATCAAAATCATGGAGACAGAAAGTAGAATGGTGGCTGCCAGGGGCTTGGGGAGGGGGAAACAGGGATTTATTGTTTAATGGGTTTTAGTTTAGCAAGATGAAAAGGGTTCTGGAGATGGATGGTGGTGATGTTGGCACAATGTGAATGTATTTAATACCACTGAACTGTACGCTTAAAAATGGTTAAGATGGCAAATTTTATGTTATGTTTATTTTACCACAATAAGAAAATTGGGGGGGCCGGCCCAGGGGCATAGTGGTTAAGTGCACACGCTCAGCTGCCACAGCCTGGGGTTCACAGGTTCAGATCCCGGGCGTGAACTGACGTATCGCTTATCAAGCCATGCTGTGGCGGCGTCCCGTATAAAGTGGATGAAAATGGGCACCAATGTTAGCCCAGGCCAGCAAAAAGAGGACGATTGGCGTCGGATGTTAGCACAGGGCTAATCTTCCTCACCAAAAAAAAAATTGGGAAAAGAAAAAGCACTACCGTGTATCAGAGGAAATTTAGAAATTGATAAAAAGAAAGAAAAATACATCCTCTGATTCACCTCCAAAGATGAATCCTTTTGTAGTATTTGCTTTCACATGATTGCTGTCATTCATGAGCTGTATGATTTTATATCCTACCTTTTTCACTTAAGACCACCCTGAGCACTTTTCGTTGTTGGTTGTAAAGCCTTTATAAACAGTATTTCAGGGTCGGCCCCGTGGCTTGGCGGTTGAGTGCACGCGCTCCGCTGCTGGTGGCCCGGGTTCGGATCCCGGGTGCGCACCGCTTCTCTGGCCATGCTGGGGCCACGTCCCACATATGGCAACTGGAAGGATGTGCAGCTATGACATACAGCTATCTACTGGGGCTTTGGGGGGAAAAATAAATAAATAAAATCTTTAAAAATAAATAAATAAACAGTATTTCAAAAGAGCTTCAGCATGTTCCATCAAATGAGTACCCCATAATTTGACCACTATAGAACATTTGGAAATATTGTTGGACATTTGTATACTGTTTCTATTTTGTACATCATAATTAATACTAGGATGAGTGGGCTGGCCCCGTGGCTTAGCGGTTAAGTCCGTGCGCTCCGCTACTGACGGCCCGGGTTCAGATCCCGGGCGCACACTGACGCACCACTTCTCCGGCCATGCTGAGGCCGCGTCCCACATACAGCAACTAGAAGGATGTGCAGCTATGACATACAACTATCTACTGGGGCTTTGGGGAAAAAAAAAAAAAAGGAGGAGAATTGGCAATAGATGTTAGCTCAGAGCCGGTCTTCCTCAGCAAAAAGAGGAGGATTAGCATGGATGTTAGCTCAGGGATGATCTTCCTCACAAAACAAAAACAAAAAAACACTAGGACGAGTATATTTGTATTCAAAGTGGTCAATAACATTTTAATGTGTTTATTGAGGTGTAATTGACATACAATAAATCACGCGTATTTTAAGTGTACAGTTTGCTGTTTTCACATGTGTGTACATCTGTGATACCATCTCCACCATTAAGATAATGAAGATTTCCATTAACTCAAAAGCCACTTGCCTTTGGAGTCCCTCACCTCTGTCCACCCGTGCCGCTGGGGAACCTCTGATCTGCTTTCTCTCTATATAGATACTTTACACTTTCTAGAGTTTTGTATGAAGGTACTCATACAGAATGTACTCTTATTGTCTTGTTTCTTTCAGCATAATAATTTCGAGATTCATCCGTGTTGTGTGTATCAATACCTCAATCATGTTAAGTCTGAGTAGGCTTCCACTGAATGGAGGCCTCACACTCTGTTTATCCGCTCACCTGGGGGTGGACATCTTAGTTATTTCCAGTTGGGGGCTATTTCAAATGAAGCGTCTATTAACATTCGTGTACAAGTGTTTGTGTGGGTGATGTGTTTTTCTTTCTCTTGCATCAATGCCTAGGAATAGACTGGCTAAATCATATGGTAGGTGTATGTTTAACTATTTAAGAAGCTGTCAAACTGTTTTCCAAAGGGTTAGTACCATTGTGCATTCCCACCAGCAGTGGATGAGAGTCAGTTTCACCCCATACTCACCAACACTTGGTACACCGTCAGTCTGTTTAACTTTAGCCATTCTAATAAATGTCTAGTGGTATCTCATTGTGCTTTTAATTTGCATCTCCATCATGACTAATGACGTTATGCATCTTTTCATGTACTTATTTGCTATTATATCTTTTTTGGTGAAGTATCTGTTCAGCTCTTTTAACCTTTTTTTAATTGAGTTGTTTATATTTATTGAGTTTTGAGAGTTTTTAAAATATATTCTGGATACAAGTTCTTTATCAGATAAATGCTTTGCAAAGGTACTTCTCACAGTCTGTGGCTTATCTTTTCATTCTCTTAATAGTGCCTTTCAAAGAGCGGAAGTTTTTAATTTTGATGAGGTCCAATTTATCAATTTTTCCTTTTACGGATTATGCTTTTGTTGTTGTATCTGAGAAATCTTTGGCAAACCCTACGTTTTCTTCTCAAAGTTTTCTAGTTAGGGTTTACATTTATCAAATGGCTGTGATCCATTCTGAGTTAATTTGGAGACCAGGCTAGCTATGGATCACAGATCATTTTTCTGCATCTGGACAGTGTTTCCAGCACCATTTATGGAAAAGACTTTCCTTTCTCTATTGAATTGCCTTCGAACCTTTGTTGGAAATCAGCTGTTTATATGCGTGTGGGTCTTTTCTGTATTCCCATCCTGTTCCACTGAGCATCGTCTACATCAGCCCAGTGCTGCCCGGCTGTGATTGCTGTAGCTTAGAGCAAGTCTCGCCATCAGACGGTGTGAGTCCTCCAGCTGGCTCTTCTTTATCAAAGTTGTTTTTGCTCTTCTAGGTACTTCGCATTTCCACATAAATTCTGAAATCAGCTTTGCGATTTCCTCAGAGGAGCCTGCTGGGGTTTTGATTGAGAATCCATCTACTCTGTAGATCAGTTTGGGGAATAATTAACGTCTTCTCAATCTTGCCTTCTGACCCAGGAGCGTGGTCTAGCTCTCCGTTGATCTGGGTCGTCTTTAGTTTCTCCGGCGTTTTGCAGTTTCCAGCTACAGGTCTTGCACAACTTTTGTAGGATTTATCCCTGTGAACATTTCATCTTTTGTGTGCTATTGGCAAAGCTGTCGTGAAGCCAGCTCTGTTCTGGCCGTGCCTCCTGGAGCTGCGGGCAGAGCCACAGTGAGACCAGCCCCTGACAGTCCTGATGCTCGGCTCTGGGCAGAGGCTGGAGGGTGCCCCCTTAAAGCCCCTCTCCTTCTTCCACTCAGAGAGAGTCCACATCTCCACACCCAACAAATACGAGTTCCAGTATGTGCAGCAGCCCCTGCACCTCACCTGTTTTGACGTGGCCGTGCGAGCCCACAATGACGCCTGCGTGGCCTTGTCCCCTGGGCCTCAGGACACCGCGGGCATGATTGAGATCGTCCTGGGGGGGCACCAGAACACCAGATCCTGGATCTCCACCAGCAAGATGGGTGAGCCCGTGGCCAGCACACACACGGCTAAGATCCTCTCCTGGGATGAATTCAGAGCATTCTGGGTCAGCTGGCATGGTGGGCTCAGCCAGGCACGACTGGGCTGGCCGGGGTGGGCACAGGAGCCTCATGCTCCTCTGGCATCTGCTGCTTCCTGCTCTGTGTCTGGCTCTGTTGGGGGCGGGGAGGAGGGGGTGAGCACAGGGCACCGCCTCAAGGTGCTCACAGTATGCCTGGAGTTGCTTACAAAAGAAAACGTGAGGGCTGTGGTGGAGGAAGTGCCTGGGGTTCTGGGAGAAAGGTCAGGATGGGTGGTCAGGGAGAAAGAAAGTGGATGTGAGCAGGTGAAATAGGGGCTGCGGGGGGCTGCCTCTGGGCCAAGCAAAGGGGACATAGAAAAGGAACAGCTAACACAGCTTTCTAGAAGAGGGACATAACCAAGCTGGATTTTGAAGTATGAATAGGAGTTCACCAGGCAAAACAAGGAGTGAAGGATATTCCAGGCAGGGGGAACAGCATGTGCAAAGGCCCAGAGGTTCCAGGGAGCCCGGTGACTTTGGAACTTGTAGATGCCATGCTTGTTGGCCATGTAATGGATGGGGTGACCTCTAGTTTCTCTGACTGTAGCAAGTGTCACTGCTGCTTGGGCACCACCGTATGCTTCCTGCCATTGTCCAGTAGCCTTGGCCTCTGTTTCCAGGTTGGCCACGGTCCAGAGCCATCCAATGAGTCTGTCATCATGGCCTGGACCCTCCCCAGGTCACCAGAGGTCCAGTTCCTCGGTTTCTTCACTGGCTGGGGCTCCATGGGCGAGTTCCGCATCTGGAGGAAGGTGGAGGCAGATGAGAGCTACAGCGAGGCCTTCACCCTAGGGGTCCCACACAGCACCATCCCTGGCTCTGAGCAGATGGCTGCCTCCATCATAGGTGTGTCTGCCCTGCAACCTGGCTCAGCTTTGCTGGGAGCCTATGCCCCTGAGGCCTCCAGCCACACACGCACTCACCTGATGAGCACCTTCTAGTGATGGGTGTTTCTTTATGATGGGCACTGGGAGCAGACCCAGAGGTGACACCGACCCTACCCTTGAGGGGCTCCTAGTCTGGCCGAGAAGGTGGGTCCAGACCCACCCAGTCCAAGCTCTATGTGAGGTGACCCCAAGGGGCAGCTGGTGAACTCTGTGAGGGCAGTGGGTCTGGGGCGAGGTCCAAGAAGTCCAAAAGGCCAAGTGACATCAGCCAGGCATGGGGGAGGGGTGGGGGTCCTAGGGGTCCTGGTGAGAGGGGCAGAAGTCCAGAGCATTTGCTGAACAGGGGTAAGAGGCTTTGACTTGAGGTCTCCAGGGCTGTGGGTTGTCTCCTGTAGCCTGGGCACAGGAGTGGAAAGTGGGGATGGTATGATCAATCCAGCATTGGGAGTTGGAAGGGTAGAGAGTGGGTGAGAGGCCAGGGGGCAGACAGACCTGAATGAGGGGGTCTTGGGTCTCTCTGACATCAAAGGGATGGAAGCCCTAGGGCCTGTGAAGGTTGATGGTTGTGGCCAGATCAGAAGATGTTGGAGTTTATGATTTCTGAGGCAGAAGGTCAAGTCAGAGGTGGCTGTGGAGGTGGGTGGCCCAGATGGAAGTGAGGAGTGTAGGGGAGGAGGCAGATAGGCAAGGATGGAGAAGAGATGAAGGCTAGGACCTGTGTGCCAGTGCCTTCAGCACAGTGGGATGGAAGGGTGGAGGTGAAGCTGGGAAATCCAGAGGAAGGTGATGAGAAAGTAGCCAGGCAGGCCTTGCCACAGGAAGAGGATTCAGGAGCAGTGGCAGCCCCATTGGGGCAGGAGGAAACACTGAAGAAGGAAGGGAGCTGTAATCAAGGGACAGCAGGTGTTCTGGGGGGCTCATCTGCAACGTTTGGGGCAGAGAGGCCAAGGAGAGGAAGAGAGAGTACCAAAGGAGTGAGAGCACAGGAGACTATGAATAAAAGAAAAAAAGAACTTAAAACTGCACCAACAATACCATACATGTATGAAAACTTTTTTAAAAATCTAATTACTGGGGCCAGCCCCATGGCCTAGCGGTTAAGTTTGGCATGCTCCACTTTGGTGGCCCAGGTTCAGTTCCCTGGCATGGACCTACACCACTCGTAGGTGGCCATGCTGTGGCAGCAACCCACATACAAAATAGAGGAAGATCGGCACAAATGTTAGCTCAGGGCAAATCTTCCTAAGCAAAAAAAAAATCGAATTACTCATGGTTAAAGAGAAAATCACATTTCATAGTGAAAGTTAGAAAAAGTATTTGGAATGGAACCACAATGGCTGGATTGATGTATCAATATTTGTGAGATGCAGCCAAAGTTGTACTTAGAGGGAAATGCATAGCCTTAAATGCACTTGTTTAAAAAGCCAGAAAGCAAAAAGCATTCAACATAATGCAAAAGTAGAGAAAGAACACTGAATAAAAACTAAAGAACACTGAAGGAGGTGTGTAGGAGAGGCCCAACAGGTGGCCACCAAAGCTGGAGGGCCTGGGTGGGCTGAGTGGGCAGGGGGTGCAGTCCAGTCCCAAGGGGCAGCACTGGCAGTCAGGGGGTGGGTGGCTGATGTTAGGCCACAGGTGGGCTCTGGAGAAAGCTGTCTCTAGGACAGCCAGGGCACCAGGCAAGGCCAGTCCTCAGCCCAGTCCTCTTCTCCTTCTGGCCAGGAGACATCATGGGACCAACCCTGAACCACCTCAACAGCCTCCTGTGGCTGCCCTTTGGCTGCGGAGAGCAAAACGTGATCCACTTTGCACCCAACGTCTTTGTCCTGAAGTATCTTCAGAAAACCCAGCAGCTCAGCCCCGAGGTGGAGAAGGAGACCACTGATTACCTGGTACTAGGTACTGAGGGGAGACTACCTGGGTGGAGGGTGTGGGGAGGGAGGCAGCCTTGACTGCGAGGCGGGCAGTGGATAGGAGGAAGGGAAGGAAGTGGGCCAGAGAGGCCACTCTGGGTGGCCTGATCTGGTCACTGTCAGCAGGAGCCTGGTGTCCGCACTTGCTAGGATAAGGCCCTGAATGCTGGTAATTACCCACAGGAAGAGGAACGGCATCTTTTAAAAATGTAGCTTTTGAAGGCTGGCCCCATTGCCTAATGGTTAAGTTCACACACTCCACTTCAGTGGCCCAGGTTCGGTTCCTGGGTGTGGACCTACACCACTCGTAGGCGGCCATGCTGTGGTGGTATCCCACATACAAAATAGAGGAAGACTGGCACAGATGTTAGCTCAGGGTGAATCTTGCTCAGAAAAAAAAAAAAAAGTAGATTTTCTTCTTTTTTTTAATAAGTGCAATATAACACCATTATAAAAAACATTTAGAAAAGAAAAGAAAGTCCCCTATAACCCCGTCAGTGCTGGCTCTGGGTTTGCTCTCCTGCCCTCCAGCAACACAGACGAGCTTTGACATTCCTGGTGCCTCCTGATACGGCTCCTCCAGCGTGTCCCCACCCCGCGCTAGGGGGAGGTTCGTCCAGCGGGCTGTGGGGCCTGTGGCCCATCCACCTCTATTTCTGTGTAGATGGACCGTGGTCGGTGTGTCTGCTGATGGGCACTGGAGAGTTTCCGGTTCAGGGCTTTCGGATGGTGCTGCTGTGAGTCGTTGTGCTTGCGTGCTTGGTGAACACACGTCTGGATTTCTAGGGGGGCCATTGCTGGAGTGGCATCACTGGGTCTCAGGATGGGTTCAGTTTGTGATCGCTCTCGAGGCTGCACTATTTGCCCCTCACATGCATCTGTGGAGCTCAATGTACTGAACTCTCCTCTTTTACACGTTGGGGCTATTTCCAGTTTTTTTTTCGCCTGAATAATGTAGCACTGAACATCTTCAGAAATAAGCAGCACTGAGCGACTTCAGAGATAAGTAAGGCAGCACTGAATACCTTCCATCACCGTCAGTCAGGCCCGGGGTCAGGGAACAGCCCCTCCTGTGCGGCTGGCTCTTCTTGGTGCCTCGGTTTCCTCTGTCACAAGGGTGTTAGCTCAGTTGATCCCAAGGTCCTGGGGTGCCCTGGGGTTTGCTTCTAGCCTTGGCTGGAGCTGGAGTGGAAGGGAAGCGTGGAGGGGCCTGACCCGGCTATGAAGCTGGCATCCACAGCGTGCCGGACGTGTGCATCAACCCCCCGCCCCTGGTTTTCCACCAAACCAGCTGGTGTTCGTGTGCTGTGGCTGCCGTAACAAAGGACCACAAACCGGGCGGCTTAGAACAGCAGGAATTCCTTCCTCATGGCTGGAGGCCTGAGCTCTGAGATCAGGTGTCAGCAGGGCTGGTTCCAGGAGGAGGCTCTGAGGGGACTCTGTCCTGGGCCCCTCTCTTGGCAGGGTTTTGGGGGCTCCAGCGTCCTTGGCTTGTAGACACGTCAGCACGCTCTCCTCTGTCCTCGCAGGCCTCTGTGTCTAAATGTCTCCCCTTCTTTCTCCTCATGAGGACAGCAGTCATTGGATTTAGGGCCCACCCTAACCCAGGAGACCTCCTCAGGAGATCCTCAGCATAGTTACATCTGCAAAGACCCTTATCCCAGTGAGGTCCCATTCGAGTCTCCGAGTGGGCATAAATTTGGGGGGACACTGTCCACCCAGTGCAGAGGTCCTTCTGCCTCTTCCCCTCCTCTGTGGACACAGCTCTGTCCTTCCAGTAGGTCAGGCCCCAAACCTTGGTGCGCTCCAGATCCTTCTTTCTTTCCTTCACACCTTGTCCAGCTGAACCACTCTACCTACTGAAGAACCCCTCCCTGCCTGTCACCGCCACCTGATTGGAGCCCAGCATCCTGCTCAGCTGGATGGTCCCTGCCCCCCCAGTCTCCCCACTTCCTCTCCAGACCTTACAATCCACCCATGACATATGTGCCCCACACCCTGCCCCTGCTCACCCTGCCTGTGCCCCCTGCTGCTCTCACAAGGAAACTGAACGCCCAGCCCTGGAGGCCCCAGGGCTGGCCTGACCTCCCTGCCTCCCGCTCCGCCTCGCTCCCCTGCTCTGGCCACTCCGGTGCCTTCTGTTCTCCGAGCACACTGAGCTCTGGCTCCAGCGGGTGGGAGAGGGTGCATTTCACTGACCACCAGGCATGACTGAGGGCCCAGGTGTGACCAGGAATCAGGAAACAAAAGAGGAATAAAGTAGAGGTTTCAGCAACCCCAGATGTGGTGGGGCAGTTTCAAGGACTCCAGAAGCGAGTGAGGGGCAGTTTCAGGGTCCCCAGATGTGGGTGTGGGTCAGTTTCAGGAACCCTGGATGTGGGTGTGGCATTGTTTGGGAGTCCCAGGTAGGACATAGTCAGGCCCAGGCCCAGCCATTCACCAGGAGGCTGTCCCTCTGCTCGCCCTGCAGGCTACCAGCGACAGCTGACCTACAGGCACCAGGATGGCTCCTACAGCGCTTTCGGGGAGCGGGATGCATCAGGGAGCATGTGGTGAGTCCCCACCCCCAGGGCACAAGCCACAGCCTCCCGTCCAGCACAGTGTGGCCAGAACGCTCGGGGTCTGATCCCCAGGGTGACGGGGTGTGGGCAGCGCTGCCTGGTCCTGGGCTCGGAGGGGGTTTGAGGAGTGGTGGCGACAGTTACTGTTACTCTTTCTGCTGTTGTTGCCACAGTGCCTGGGAACTGAGCCCCTGCTCTCCGGCCCCTTGGGAGCAGGTCCTGGGTGCTCTGGGCCTCTTCAAAGCCCACTGGACCCAGGAATGGAGGTGACTCCGAGCAGGAAGGGGTGGGCTGGGAGAGGCCAGACCACCGTCTCGAGGCTGCAGTGGGGGATGTGCAGGAGGAGCGGCCTGGGGTCCAGATTCCTTTGCGACCGGCTCCCTCTGGCTTTCGGGCAGCCAGCGCAGGGAGGGTCAGAGAGGGCTGGGGGCACCTGGGTCCTGTTCCCTGGGACCCTTGGACCACAGCAGTTCCTGGCATCATCGGGGATTTGCCTCGTCCACTTCGGTGCTTACTGAGAAAGTGGGGCACCCCCAACTCTTGTCCCCAGGGGGCTCCCTCAAAGTGCCATCCTGACAGCGCCTGCAGTAGCTGTGGGCATGGAAACTGCCCTGTTCTTAGGCTGCTGTCCACTGCGCAGTGGTGGGCCAGGGGCGGGGAGCGGGGCTGAGCCTGGCTGAGCCTGCACCGCGGAGCGCGGCGTCGCTCGCTTGGCTCCAGGGGCCCCAGGCTGTGACCTGCCCAGCCCCCCAGACCCCGCAGCATGTCCGCTGTCCCAGTTTTTGTCCCAGGGCCCGGCCTTGCTGAAAACCCGTGGAACAAGGCCGCAGTCACAGCCTGGCAAACAGAGGCCCCTGCCCACCCCAGGGGACGCCCGGAGCCACTGAGTCACCCTCCAAAAGCTGGCTGAGCCCCAGCAGCCCTGAGAAATAGCGAGCGGTGACCCACTGTGCACCCTGCCCCAGGCACACGCAGGCACAGCTCGAGTGGGACCAGTTCCACCACGGTCATGGAAATGTGACACACAGCAGCCCCCTTCCCCCTCACCCTGTGAAACGGGCCTGTTGGTCTCTGAACATGGACATCTCCCTGAGGACCCTGGAGGACAAGGCTGCAGGAAGCAGCATCCACCCGGGCTCTGTCTCGCGTGAGCTGTGTGGCCTTAGACCAGCTGCTCAACCTCTCTGAGCCTGTTTCCATGCCGCACATCCCTCTCAGGACCGGAAGGCAGGAGACAATGGAATAAGGGTGTGGGCGTGCTCATTGAAGTGCTGGGGGTACCCATCAGGATGGATGCCCTCTTTGTGCCTCTCCCTAAATACTTGGACACTTCCATCCAGCATGGAAGGCTTACAACTCAGGATGTATTATAGACAGGTTCCTGTGTGTGCAGTGTACATTCGTTCACTCGTTCGTTCATTCAGTGAGTGCCTACTATGGACCAGACCCTGTTCTCAGTCCCAGGAGAACAAGAAAGAAATGGTCCCTGGTTCCAGGAGCTCACTGCCCCAGGGAGAGAGGTATGAAACGTAGTAGTTATCTACTGCTGGGAACAAGTCATCCCACAATGTAGCCACTTAAAACAGCAGACATCTCTTCCCTCCGTTTCTGTGGATCGGGAACTCAGGAGCTGCTCAGCTGGGTGTTTCTGGCTCAGCGTCTCTCCCGAGGTTGCAGCCACGGTGTTGGCTGGGGGCTGCAGTCATCTGAAGGCTTGACTGGGGCTGGAGCGTTTGTTTCCAAGTTGGCTCTCTCCCATGGCTATTGGCAGGAGGCCTCAATTCTCACCGAGGACCATTCCATTGGGCTGCTTGAGCGTCCCTCCAATATGGCAGCTGGCTTCCCCCAGAGCGAACAATCCAAGAGAGGACACAAGGAGTATGCCACAGATGCCTTTTATCATCTGATCTCCCAAGTCACACTGTCACTTCCACCACATTCTATTCTTTAGAAGCAGGTCACTAAGTACAGCCTATACTCAAGGAGGGGGAAATTCAATTCCACCTCTTAAAAGGAGAAGTATCAAACATTTGTGGAGATATTTTGAAACTACTACACCAGGCATATAATTTCTGGTACCTATAAAACAAACAAAGCAAGGTAAGGGGATAGAGCAATGGGGGATACATTTATGTGAGGTGGTCAGGAAAGGTTTCCCTGAGGAGGTGACCTGAAAGAGGTGAGGGAGGAGCCGTGTAAAAATCCAAGGAGAGAAGATTCCAGGCAGAAGGAACAGCCTGTGCAATGGCCCTGAGGCAGGACTGAGCTTGTCAAGTTTGAGCCACAGAAGGGAGGCCAGTGTGGCTGGGACAGCACAGGCAAGGAGGAGAGGGTGATTGGGACAGCCTGGGCAGCGTGAGGGGTTTGGATTTTATTCTGGAAGGAACAAGACACAGTTGGATGGCTCAGAGCAGAGTGTGGCCAAGATCTGAGTCACAGAGGGCTGTGGGTGTGTTTAATTAATAGACTATTTTTCAGAACAGTTTTAGGTTTATAGAAAAATTAAGCAGACAGAATTCCCATATACTCCCTCTCCCCCTCCACAGTTTCCTCTATTACTAACATCTTGCATTAGTGTGATACATTTGTTACAATTGATGGACCAACATTGCTACATCATCAAGGGCCACACTTTCCATCAGGGATCATGCTTGGTGTTGCATATTCCACAGGTTTTGATGAATGCACAATGTCATGTCTCCACCGTTACAGTATCATACAGAGTAGTTTCACTGCCCTAAAACTCCCCTGTGCTCTGCCTCTTCATCGTTACCTCCCCCTCACCCCTGGCAACCACTGATCTTTTTACTGTCTCCATAGTGTTGTCTTTTCCAGAATATCATAGAGTTGGAATCATGCAGTATGTAGCCTTTTCAGACTGGCTTCTTTCACTTAGCAGTATGCACTAAAGGTTCCTCCATGTCTTTTTGTGACTTGAAAGCTTCTTTTTTTCTTTTTTTTAAGGAAGATTGGCCCTGAGCTAACATCTGTTGCCAATCTTCCTCTTTTTCTTTTTTCTCCCCAAAGCCCCGGTACAAAGTTGTATATCCTAGTTGTAGGTCCTTCTAGTTCTTCTGTTTGGGACGCCGCCTCAACATGGCTTGATGAGCAGTGAGTAGGTCCATGCCCAGGATCCGAACCAGTGAACCCCGGCCACGGAAGCAGAACACGTGAACTTAACCGCTATGCCACCGGGCCGGCCCTTAGAGAGCTCATTTCTTTTTATCTCTTAATAATAATTCCTTATAAGGATGTACCATGGTTTGTTTATCCGTTTGTGTTTTCAAAGTGGAAAAGTAGAGAGAGCAGTGTAGCAGAATGTGGGATTTCCAGAATTCACAGTCTCATGGGAGCTGCGTGGCCTGAGTTCCACCTGCCTTCCCTCTTTGCCCCATGTCCCTGCTGCACACCAGTGTCTGGACTTTCCCTCTGGCTGCTGAGTGCAGAGCAAGTCACGGGGTGGCAACCGGCCAGGGAGACGGGGCCATGGGGGGGCCTGGCTGATACAGGGGCTGTGGAGGTGGAGGGAGGGGATGGACTTGAGGGATCTGGGACAGAGAGTGGCCAGGACCAGCTGACTCTTGGGGTGGGTGCATGCGGGCTTTGGGTTATTTTAAGGCTAATAGTTCAGGTTTTGGTGATTCACATGAACAGAGCCCAACGCCACTTGAGTTGGGGCGTTTCAAATGCCGACACTTCTGTTGTTTGTCCTCCTCGGCTCCATGATTTCTACCCAGTGGTTCTCCTGCATCTTTTGTTCACTCCATCATTCATTCCTGGGTCCCACCAACCCTCACTCAGGGGACACTGTGACACCAGCCACAGCTGGGCTGGGGGACTGGGTGGGTGAGGGACAGACTGCAAAGCTAGTGATGGACAATGATAACACAGAGGCATGCCCATCCCACAGTAGGGGTGTCTGCGAGGCTTCCTCTGGGGAGAGACACTTGGGCTGAGCATTCAGAGGCAAATGGGACTTCGTTCTGTGAAGAAGGGAGGGGAATACTGTGTGTCAAGAGCCTGGATGGAGTAACTGAAGCTAGTGGATTGGTGGGACTTTTCAGCTGCAAGCAACAGAAAACTGGCTGAAAAGCAGTTCTGAATATCAGCTCACATCACAGAGCTGGGGAGCCTCCAGTGTTGGCCAGTCTGATAGCCCCACAATGCATCAGGGCATCTGGTTCTTTCCTTCAGTCCCTGTAGATTCCCTCAGCACAGTGGCTGCTCCTCTCGTGGTGACAAAATGGCTGCAGCTGCTCCCAGCATCATTTAATGTGCCCATTCCAAAGCCATTCACAGGCCTAGGGACTGGAATGACCGTAACGGTTGCTGGCTAGGGCCACAGAGGGTCTTAAGTATCCAAGACATCTGGCTGCTGGTTCCCAAGCAAGACCCAGGGTCTCTCAGCAAGACTGGGGAGCTCTTGGAGAATGGATGTGGAGGGGCAACAGGGAAGGTCTCCCGCACGTGGCAGAGGCAGGCAGGGCTGGACCAGCTCACAGAAAGGCCTTGCGTGGCAGGTGAGGAGCAGACCTGGGTGCTGCCAGGGTGGGAGGGTCCAGGCAGGGATGCTGGGCTCCGTCGCCCGCACATTTCCATTGAGCTGTTGGACCCCGCCGTCCTACAGATGAGGACACGGAGGCTTGGGCGGTGTGGGGAACATGCCACAGGCCCTCAGGGGACACAAGGGAGATGACCCCGTTCTGCAACCCCCAGCCCCCTCCTCATCCTATTTCAGGCTCACGGCCCTTGTCCTGAAGTCCTTTGCCCAGGCCTGCAGCTTCATCTTCATCGACGAGCGGGAGCTGGCGGCCGCCAAGGGCTGGATGGTCCAGCAGCAGCAGGCGAACGGCCCCCTCCCGGCCGTGGGCAGGGTCCTGAACAAGGACATCCAGGTGAGCGGCCCCTCAGCCTCCTTTGCGGCCTTGGCCTTGCCCGCTTCTCCCCGGTGCTGCCTGGGGCCAGCGGGGCGGGGGGAGCTGTCCCCTCTGGCTCTGGGTGAAGCCCACGAGTCCTCTTGCAAGGTGGGGTCCACGGCACCATCCCGCTGACCGCCTACGTGGTGGCCGCATTCCTGGAGACGGGCACTGCCTCGGAGGTGAGCCCGGGGTCCCGGGAGACGTGGGGCGGGGGCTGGAGGGGCGGGCGGGTGGGTTTCCTGCGCAGGCCCGGCTGGCTATCTTCTGGCGGGGTTTATTTCTTCCTCGACACCTTCCTTCCGCTCATTAATGAGGTTTTTTCATGCTTTTCAATGGTCCCAGAGCATCCAACTTATAGCCTGAGCAGCAGAGTGAGAGGTTCCAGCAGTAATTGTGGGGGGCATGTGTGTATAAGGGGGGCTGTACCCTGAGGATGAGACCGCCCAGGACTGTCCACAGCCCCCGCACCCCATTTGGGGAGTCATTTGGGGCTACATCAGGTGCCTGGCCGGTGGCCTGTGTGCTGGCTTCAGGGAGCCCTATACAAAATGTTAGACTCTGGAAGGTTTTTGGTGGAAGGCTGTAGAACCTTCGGGGACAGTTGGTACTGGACCCAACAGGGCCTGAGGAGCTCGAGGGTCATCCTCACTTCTATAGGTTGTCCCGGGTGGGGGTGGCACGTGCCCTGCGGTGAGGGCTCTGCTGGCGGATCTTGGCCCCTGGGGTAGGGACCCCTCCATTCCTAACCTCTGTGTCAATTCTAAATCCTCTGATGATGAATCGAAAGTTGTGGCATTTCTCGGAATTCTTGGCCTCACAATCCAGGTTTAACTGCTGTACTTGAGGTTTGCTGTGACCTAAGACCCTCCACGCCCCATGCACTTTGCCCAGGGGGCCCCTTGCCCTGTGTTAAAGGGCTAAGTTGTGTCTCCCTCAGAATTCGTGTCCTGAGATCCCAACCCCTGTCTTAGTCAGCTCAGGCTGACACAACAAAATACCGTGGTCTGGAGGGTGTAAACAGCAGGCATTTATTTCTCACGGCTCTAGAGACTGGGACGTCCAAGATCAGGGTTCTGGTCATTCAGTTCTTGGTGAGGGCTCTCTTCCTGGCTTGTGGCCAGCCACCTTCTCTCTGTGTCCTCACATGGCCTCTCCTTGGTGCCTGCCCTTGGAGGGAGAGAGAAGGCAAGCAAGCTCTGGTGTCTCTCCCCCTTCTTATAGGGACCCTAACCCGTTATGGGTGCTCCACCGTCTTGACCTCATCTAAACCTAATCACCTCCAAAGGCTCCCCTCCTGATACCATCACATTGGGGGTTAGGGCTTCAACACGTGAATTTGGGGGGACACAGACATTCAGTGCATAACCACCATGGGACCTCAGAATGTGACAGTGTTCGGGGACAGGGCCTTTAAAGAGATGGTTAAGTTAAAATGAGGCTGTTAGGGTGGGTCCTGATCCAGTAGGACTGGCGTCCTTGTGAAAAGGGGAAATTAGGACCCAGGGACGTGCACAGAGGGAGACGATGTGAAGACGCAGGGAGAAGGAGAGAGGCCTGGACGGAGCCCCCTGCAGCCCTCAGAAGGAACTAACCTGGCGCACACCTGGATCTTGGATTTGTGGCCTCCAGATCTACGAGACATAACTTGCTATTTTTGTGTGTGTGTGTGAGGAAGATCAGCCCTGAGCTAACATCTGCCAATCCTCCTCTTTTTGCTGAGGAAGACTGGCCCTGGGCTAACATCCGTGCCCATCTTCCTCCACTTTATATGGGACGCCGCCACAGCATGGCCTGACAAGCAGTGCGTCGGTGCGCGCCCAGGATCTGAACTGGCGAACCCCGGGCCACCACAGCGGAGCACACACACTTAACCGCTTGCGCCACCGGGCCGGCCCCAACTTTCTATTTTTTAAGCCACCCAGTTTGTGGTACTTTGTTATGCAGGCCTAGCAAACCATACAGCTGCCTCTAGGATGACTAACTGTCCCGACTGGCCCAGGACTGAGGGATTCCCAGGACGCTGTCTAGTTGGGCACCTCCTGCCCATCTGCACCTCTGCGACTGAGGATCCCAGGCCCCTCGGTGTTCCCCAGGTGGGCCACCTCCATCCACTGGTTCTGATTTTTGTTTTGGATAAATTGACATTGAGGTCAGTCTGACCTTACCATATTTTTTAGAGCTGAGCCCTGTGTTTCTTCATTCACTTGAGAGTTTGAAGGCCCCTGTGCCCTGGGCTGAATAGTGGCCCCTGGATTAGTGTCCTGGGGCTGTTGTAACAAAGTACCACAAAATGAATGGCTTCAAACAACAGGAATTTATTCTCTCGCAGCTCTGGAGGCCAGAATTCTGAAGTCAAGGTGTGGGCAGGGCCGTGTCCCTCTGGAGGCTCTAGGGGAGGGTCATTCCTGCCTCTTCCAGCTTCTGGGGCTCCAGGTATCCCTTGGCTCGTGACTCACGTGGGCCAGGCCTGGGGCTCAGTGAATCTGCTCTGTCACCCTGGCACGTGCCCCAGGAGGGAGATGGTACATTTTGACGTCACAGCTTTGGGGCAGTTCCCATTGCTTTGTCCTGATCGAAAGACGGAAAACTTTGGGAGAACATTCTTTCTGCAATCTTAACAATCACTAAAGCAGAGTTGTCTTAACTCCATGGTTCCACCTGTGCCTACAGGAGCACCATTTGCTAAATTCATTAATGCTTCGAATCACTCATTTTTCCATTTAACCAGTATTATTGGGCAGCTTCTCTGAACCAAGCCCATCACTGGACAGTGGACTCTGTTTCTATGCTCCAGCAGCTTGCTTTGGGGGGTGGGAACATGATCAGGGTTGGTGGGCTTCCCGGAGGAAATAACAATTGAGGCAAGGCCAGGAGCATGACGTGAGCATGGGCTGGGGTCTTGGAAGCCAGAGCCAGGGCTCTGCCTACTTCCCCCAGAGCTTCTCTGGGGTGATCTGCTGCACTTGGGCGTCCTGGCCAGACTTCTTTTGGAAAAAATTGGCACCAACTTAAAATAAACGGGATGAAGTTTGCTAGCCAAGGCTGCAGTTGATGGGAGCCCCAGAAGGATGCAAAGCGAGGGGCTGTGAACCGACTAGCACTCTCCCCAAGGGCACCCTGGGGACCTGCGGGTGGGTGGTGGCTGGAGTGGGGGCAGAGCAGCCTCCCAGGGCTCCCCTTCCCGCCCCACCCCGCAGGAGGAGAGGGGCGCCATCGCCAGGGCGAGGCACTTCCTGGAGTCTGGCGCGGCCCTGGTGGTGGACCCCTACAGCAGTGCCCTGACCGCCTACGTGCTGACCCCGCTCCACAGCCCCGCAGCCCCTGCAGCCCTGCAGAGGCTCCGTAGCCTGGCCATCACCCGGGGTAGGTGTCGCCTGCCTGCCGTCACAGAGGCCCTGCTGAGGGGCCAGCCCACAGGGCGCCCCAGTAGACAGCACACGAACACGTGCGTGGAACTGCGAGGCCTCCTTTGCTCACTATCTCGCTTGTTATATTATTCATTCATTATTGCATCAACCAGTGGCTTCGTGATGAAGCGGCTTGAGCCTGCGCGTCGTTTTCCTCCCCTGTGAAATAGGAGGTACCACCCCCGCCCCGGCCGGGGAGGGTAGTGCCCAGGGACCCCAGTAGAGAATCTCCCAGGCAGTCTGGGAACCAGCCCCCAACAGGGCCCGGGGAGGCGGGGGAGGCTGCGGCTGGCCCCCACCCTGCCCCACTTCGCGGCCTAAGCCTTGGGAAGCCTTTCCCATCTTCGGGGTGTCAGTCTCCCCATCTACAAAATGACTACCCTTCGTGCCTGCTGTGTTCGTGGAGCCCCAGTGGCCGAGCTGTGGCTTCTCGGAATGCCTCAAAACTGAGTCCCCTCCCCGCCAACTCCCTGCCCTGGTACCCCCCGCACCCTGTCCTCCCAGGCAGCTGTCTGATTAAGATGCCACCTGAAGAACTGCTTTCACTGCTTAAGAAGAAAAAAAAAGTTAAAAAGCAAAATTCTGAAACCACTCAATTGGGTGACAGAGTCTATTTAGGACTAAATGCTCAAGATTGGGAGTGGGGAGGGCTGATTTTTCTATGGTTTAAGGGCCTTGTACACCTCACATGAGCTCAGAATCCTTGCAAGTGGGGAGTGGCTTCCTGGGCTGAGTGGGGACGTCTGTGGCCTGCATCTCCCAGGAGGGAGACCATTGATTAGTGATGTCTGCCAGGGGTGCAGGAGGGGCTGGGTTTGTCACTAGTTGCAGGTCTGAGACATAGCCCCAAGGCCCTTCCTGTCTCAGCCATCTCCCCCAGCACCCTCCTCACACTGGGGTCCAGTCCCCCATGTCTCTTCTTGAGACCATATGCACTGAAGCCCACCATGGGATGCCAGGCTGGGCACTGAGTGGGGCTGTGGCCCCTGGCCTGTCCTGGCCTCACGGATGGAGTCACCCACTGGAGCCTGACGGGTTCCCGGGATGTGGACGAGGACGTGTTCCTGAGCTTCAGTGACGGGGTCTCTCAGTCAGGTACTGCTCACCCCACCCTCAGTGCCTCCTTTGGGCTCTGGGTCCTGTGTCCCGGCGTTGACAGGGCCCAGCCGGCCTCTTCCTTTGCAGTGGTCTCGGCTAAGGTGGAAATGACAGCCTACGCCTTGCTGACCTACACCTTGTTGGCAGAGATGGCCACTGCCCTGCCGGTGGTGAAGTGGCTATCCTAGCAGCGGAATGCGCTTGGGGGCTTCCCCTCCACTCAGGCAAGCCAGGCGGGGCCCGAGGAGGGGCTTGGGTCTGCGCAAAGGCACTGTGGTCCTGGCTCGGGGCTCAGAGCCAGCCAGGAAACCACTGGGGGCTTCAAGTTCCAGGATGGCTCCTTGCTGTCCGAGAGAAGGCAGGGGGTGGGACCCGAGGGACAGATGCACCTGGCTCTGGGACAGGGACCCAGTTCCTGCCTCCGTGGAGATGCCCACTTGCTGTCTGGGCCCCCCAGCTGGGGCCCCCAGGATGTCTGCTCCAATTATCTCTCCATTCCAGCTGCGTTGGTCCCTGGCCTCCAGAGAGGGTCCGTGCTGCCCTCAATGTGGGCTGGACCTCCCGGGACGCGGGCAGAGGGACCGCTGGCTGCCCCATTCCTGGGGCTGACAGCCTCCCGCTCTGTCCCCAGGACACCTGTGTGGCTCTGCAGGCCTTGCCAGAGTATGCCATCTTGTCCTACGCTGGTGGCATCAACCTCACTGTCTCCCTGGCCTCCACCAACCTGGACTACCAGGAGACCCTCGAGCTGCACAGGGCCAACCAGAAGGTCCTGCAGACAGCAGCGGTGCATGTTCCCGGGACGAGGGTGGGGAGTGGCGACGGCGGCCCTTCCCGCCGCCTGCCCACCGTGCATGTCTGCGGAGGGGATCACGATGTCTTCTCTTTCCAGATCCCCAGCCTCCCCACGGGGCTGTTCGTGAGTGTCAGGGGTGAAGGCTGCTGCCTGATGCAGGTGAGGGTGCAGAGAGAGCGCGTGCTCACAGCGGCATCCGGACCTCGGGGACCCCCAGAGGGGCAGGCAGGGGCTCTGAGCCCAGTGTCAGGCCAGGCTGTGTGGGTGGAATGTGTGTGCCTGAGAGAGACCCCAGGGCAGTCTGTCAGCTCCCCAAAATGCAGCCCACCCTGCCCAAGTCAGGGCCCGGGGGAGGGGAGCACCTGTCCCCTTGGGTGTGGGGTCCTCCCCAGGAAAACCTGTTTGACCTTCAACTTGGTTCTCTGACCATAAGCAGGCCTCCTCTTGCCCCCCGACATGGGATTTGCCCAGTGGCTCAAGTTTATTCTCCGTTCCTCCACCTGAATGGGACGTTCCAGCCTGGCCTCAGCCTGGCCTCCCCGCAGCCCCAGTCCCCAGGTTCTGGGATTTAGCTGCGCTCTGGGCGGGGGCAGGCTGTCCTCAAGGGCTCTGGCAGGCAGTCAGAGGGTGAGTCTGCCTAGAGACCCTCGTGGCCTCAGCTCCCCTATCTCTAAATCGGGAGCCCAGACAACACAGTGGGTGGGAGGGGGAACCCTGGAGGCAGACACACCTGGGCTCCAGATGCGTAAAAATGGGATGATGGTCGTCTCTACACCCTCTTCCGCTGTTTCAAGCCTAAGTGGAATAACAGTAGTCCCCGGAACGGTTGCTCATGTCACTGTCATCATTCTTGCGGTCCCCCACGGTCCCCTGTCCCGCCCGCCTCTCCCCTCCCCCCCCACCAGGGCCCCTAAGCCTCAGTCTACCCACACCTTCCAGATTGACGTCACCTACAACGTGCGGGACCCAGTGGCCAAGCCGGCCTTCCAGCTCCTCGTGAGCCTCCAGGAGCCAGAGGCCGAGCTGCACCAGCCCCCCAGGCCTGCCTCCTCCGCAGATGATGACGACCCGGAGGCTGACCAGCATCATCAGGAGTACCAGGTGACCCTGGAGGTGTGCACCAGGTAAAGCCAACTGCCCCGTGCTCAGGATTGGTGTTTTGTGTGGATCTCAGCCTATGGATAGTGATTTTCTCAGCTAGCAATGCCTGGGGCACTCACCTGGGGCACTCACCTGGGCCCCACAGACGTTTCCCGGGCTGGAGCCAATGTTGTGGCTGGACCAGCCCTTGTGGTTCTTAATTATGATTGTGGGACCCACTTCAGCAAAAGCCATCGGGGAACTTTGAGGAGCAAGATTTATCACTCACAGGTCCTGGAGGGGACATGGCACGCCGGAGGGCCACACAGTGAGGTCGAGGGTAGAGAGAGAGGGAGAAAGCACGGACCTGGGACTCTGACTTTGTTGGGCTCCAAAGGTGGGGTGCTTAGTGTTTTGTGAGTTCACTCTTTATTGGCAAATTTAAAACATAAGAGCAGGATTTAGGGTGCAGGAGGGGAGAAGTGGGGTCACTCAAGTGGTCAATTATCTAGGTCACCCAGGGCTTTCTAGAGGGGACCTTCATGGGTGGGGCAGGCTGGCTCCTTGGCTAGTTTATCTAGTAGCTGTGTCATCCAGCTGACAAGATGTTTATTCAAGATGGATGTCGTTGAAATGGATGCCTTTGCGGTCAAAAGCTTAATGTCAGGCACTTATGCTACAGATGGCTTTTGAAATGAGTGGAAGAAATGGAAGCACTTCTGAATGGACACAGCAGACCCCAGTGACAAACAGGGCAGGGAGGCTGGCTGGCGACGGCCATTTGTGGCCACTGTATGACCTACAAATCCAGCCCTCTCAGTTTCCCAAAAATGACTCCAGGACCAGGCCATGGGGGGTCCTCAGGGGGGGCCACATGCAGCTGCTCTCAGAGGATGCTTGTTACCATGGTGACAGTTTGGGAGCCCAAAAGTGGGTGGTTGCTATGGTACCCGAAGCCCATTGGAGCTACCCAGTCACCCTCCTCGACCTTGACACTCAGCACGCTGTTGAATGGGGCAGGGGATCAGGAAGCAGCTCGACTGGCCCCAACTGTCTGGCCCCATGGGGCCTGCTGGGGATGATTTTGTTCCTCCCTCAGATGTTAGAAAGCACCCACTGTGTGCCACCTGCATGTGGGCTCCCTCAGGCCTCGCTCCCGCAGGAAGCCGCCCCCGCCGACCTGGGGCAGTGGCCACCCCATCCCCTCGGGCACACAGTCCGCAGGTTCCTCTCGGAACGTCAGCCTCCCTCCCTGTCACCAGCACCCGGCGTTGGGAGGGCCTGGCATGTAGCAGGCCCCAGAGGCCAATTACCCACACCCCATGTCACAGAGGGAGAAACTGAGGGCTGGCACCAGGGAGTGGCTGGGTCTCCCTAGTCGCCTAGGCTCCCTTAGCCCCAGCAGGGCACAGCGTGGGGCTCGGGACAAAACAGGGCCCAGAGCTGATAGACCTGGTCAGGCCCAGACCCTTGGGCAAGGCCCTCTCCTTATGGTCTCCGTGTCTCAGCTGTGAACTGGGCCAGCTCACGGTGTTTGTACAGATGGCCTGCCAGCTGGGCCCGGGGCAGGCTCCCCCAGGAGCCGTGGGTGTTGTGGGGGCAGAGGGGCCATGAATTCCACCTGAGGCTTGAGTTCACGGCCTCTCTCCCTCTCGTCGGAAGGTGGCTGCACGCAGGGTCCTCCAACATGGCTGTCCTGGAGGTGCCCCTGCTCTCGGGCTTCCGGGCGGATGGCGAGAGCCTGGAGCAGGTGAGGGGGTGCTGGTGGGCAGTGGCCAAGGGGGTTTCCAAATTCCCAGCCCTTCATAAAATGGGGTAGGTTTTTTTTGTCTTTCTGGGCAAAGTCGGTGCCACCTGCTGAGGGGCTGGTGGGGAGGGGTGGGGGCTGTCCCAATAGGTGAGGCTCCCGCCAGGCCACCTGTGCTGTTCTTCATGTGGCAGAGGGCTTAAGCAGTTGTGCATGCGCTTTGGGGATGACGTGGGGTGCCCTCAGCCCAGATTCTCCAGAGACCTGCCACCACTCTCACAGCCTCAAGAGAGACCAGTCCCATGTCCCCTTTTGTTGGGGGGAGAGGGGCACAAAGGGAGGGGGCTGCCTTGCCTGGGCCGGAGGATGTCTGCAGTGGGGAGGGTTGAGCAGGAAAGCCAGGCCTGTCCTGGGGGTGGAGGTGATGGGGGGTTAGGGGGGGCATCACAGGAGAGGGAACAGCCAGTGAAGAGGCTCTGGGTGGGAGTGGGTTTTTGTGTCAACAACTGAAAAGGAGTCCCAGGCTGGTGGTGCAGGTGAGGTGGAAGCAGGTGGCAGGGGGGCCACAGGGAGGCCTGGCCTGGCCTGGGACTGGATCGGGGGAGAGTGCAGTGGGGGGCGGGGGGGCACTCAGAGCAGAGGTAACCAGCCTTGGGTGCTCTCTCCCCAGTGCTGGGGGGCCAGCAGGGCCTGGGAAGCACTGACTGCCACCCCCTCGCCCCGGCCCGTGGGGACTTGCTGGATGCGCTTGGCTTCTTCCCAGCCCGCCTCCCAGTGTGGGCCTCGCAGAGAATGGGGACGAAGCAAGCACTGAGGGCAGAGGGGCCCGGCGGACCCTGACCTCTGGCTTCCTTGCCAGCTGCTCCTTGACAAACACATGGCACTGAAGAGGTACAAGGTGGCCGGACGCAAAGTGCTCCTCTACTTTGATGAGGTACTGCTGGTGGGGCGGGGCAGTGGCCTCCACGGCGCACTGACGGCACAGTGGCCACGGCCAGGTGGCTCCTGCTGCTGTCTCACACCATGAAAAAGAAACCTGGAGACGGGATACAGGCAGAGCAGCGCGGCCGGCGGCTCTGGGCCCCAGGCAGCTGGCTCTGGTGGGAAACGCTGGGAGGGGGATGGAATAGTCCTCAGGCCTAACAAGGACTGAAGCCCTGACACACGCTACAACATGCATGAACCTCAAAACCTCATGCTGAGTGGGAGAAGCCAGACACAAAAGTCTGGGTAGTGCATGATCTCATGTACATGAAATGTCCAGAACAGGTAAATCTACAGAGGCAGAAAGCAGATTAGTCGGTGCCAGGGGCTGGGGGAGGGAGATGGAGAGTGACAGCCCAGGGGGACGGGTTTCCTTTTGGGTGATGGGAATGTTCTGGATCAACAGGGGTTGCACAGCATATTAATACTCACACACATACACAGTGAGGGAGAGTAGAGGTGAAACACCAGCGGAGGCGCCTTCCCAGGTGGAATGGAAGAACCCACAGAATTGAAATGGGACCAGGTTTCTGTGTTTCACACCTCTGGGGCCCCCCCGAAATCGGCCAATTCTGGACCTACGCTTTGGGGCGTCACAGAGCATGGAGGCGGGAGCTCAGTGCGCAGTGGCCCCAGCCAGACCTGAGCCCGCGCTGCCCCTGCAGATCCCCGGTCGGTGCCTGATATGCGTGCGGTTCCGGGCGCTCCGCGAGCACGTCGTGGGCAGGACGTCCGCGCTGCCGGTCTCCGTGTACGACTACTACGAGCGTGGTAGGCCCGTGCCCGCCCGCCCGCCCGCGCCCCCAGCTCGGTCTCGCAGCCTGTCACCGCATCACTTGCTCACCCATCCGCCCTCGTCCCGCAGCCTTCGAGGCCACGCGCTTCTACAGCGTCAGCGCGCTCAGCCCGCTCGCCCGAGAGCTGTGCGCGGGGCCCGCGTGGAACGAGGTGGCGCGCGCCCCGGCCCAGGGCCCCGCTGAGCGCGGCGCTGCACCCCGGCCGCCGCCGGCGCCGCGGAGGGCTGTCCTCTTGGAGCTGAGATCGGAGCGGGGAAGGGGGTCGCCGGGAAGCAGAGGGGGCCGCGTGGTAACGGCAGGAGGACGCGGCACGGTGGACGGCGCGCCTTCTGTGCGGAGAGGACCCGCCGAGCAGAGTGAGGGTGGGCTGTGGGTGGGGGCAGAGCCGAACGGGGTGGGGCGGGCCGCGAGGGGGCGGGGACAGCGGGGTGGGAGGGCGGCCGCGTAGAGGCCGGCGCAGAGAGAGCCCTTGCTTCCCCTCGCCCACAAGCCAGGTTGTGTCCAGGCACAGGGGCCCACGTCGTGAGCGCGGAGTGGCCGCGAAGGGTGGGGCTGGGCTGGGGGCCTCTTTCAGGGCCCTTTTCTCTATTTTCCAAACTTCCTGAAATGGGTTTACATTGCGGGTTTACATTGCTCCTAGTTTAAAAGTGTTTTTTTAGGCAAATCCTTGCATGAAATTCCACCCGGTCAGGGCTCAGGGCCTCCCAGTAACTGTCTCCACCTTTTAGTGGGTGGTTCCGGGCCCCCCGGGACTTCTCTCCCACTCCAGGCCTATGGTGAGGTGCGGGCCAGGTAGGGGTAAGGTCCCCCGGGCCCTGCCGACTTTGCTTCGGCCCCCACGCTGGTCCCCCGGCGAGCGGGGTCCCGCAGCCCTCCCGGAGGAGGGGCCAGGATCCCGCACTGCGGCTGCGCCCGTGACTGTGACACCTGCGGGGATCCGGTGTGCGGCTCCGACGGCGTAGTCTACGCCAGCACCTGCCACCTGCAGGAGGCCGCCTGCCGCCGATGCGCACGGTTAGAGCCCGCGGCCCCCCAGCCGCTGCGCGCCTGGTGAGGACGCGCCCCCGCCCGGCGTCGGGGACCCCGCTTGGCCCCGGACTGCATCATAGGATCTTCTCCATCACACTCTCTTCTCTCCAACGCCTCCTCTCTCCCCATCACCTTCCCGTCCTCCCCATCGCCTCCTCCCTCTTCCCCTTCGCCTCGCCCCCCGCTCTCCATCACCTCCTCCCTCCTCCCCATCGCCTCGCCCATCCCCCCATCGCCTCCTCCTCCTCCCCATCGCCTGCTCATCCTCCCCATCACCTCCTCCCTCGTGTCTTAGCATTGCCCTCTCCTCTCCCCTTCCCTCCCCTCCCCGATTCTGATCACTATGCTGCCCAGCTTAGCAGCTCCTAACTCCCATGTCTGATGGTGAGGACCTCTCTTCCCCACGCTCCTGGTTCTCGCCTGTCTACATCTCCCCCACATCTCCCCCCTCCCACTTATTCTCTGCTCCCCACAGCGCCCCTCCCTGACTCTCAGTCCCTCACTTCCTGCCCCTCCCTGCGGGTCTGTGTGTCTCCTCCACCGGCAGCCTCTCCCCGCCCCTCCAGCCTTCCGCTCTGCTGAGGCTTCCCGCATCTCCTCCCCAGGCTCCGTCTCTTTGGACTCCAGACATCACCCTTGGTCCCTTCGGCTTTCTGTCCTCCCCCATCTCTGTTTCTTTGCATCTGGGTCTCTCTTTGCATCTCCTTCTCAGTCTTTCTGTGTCTCTCCCCACCCCCACCCCCACCCCAACTTTGTGCCTTTCTATATCTCCCCATCTCTGATCTCTCTCTCTCTTCTCCCTCATCTGTGACCTCTCACCTCCTGTCTGTTGCTCTGGGCCGTAAATCTCCTCCCTTCCCTCCCTCTTGTCATCCAGCTCCTCCCCTTCCAGCACCCTTCCAACCAGTCCGCTTCCTTCCGGAGCAGACGACGACAGCCTCTGTGTTGTACACCTACGACTGTGACCCGGCACCCCTGGACGCCGGGCACCTTGTGGCTGGCCACGACTTGGAGGGGGAGGGGGAGGACAGGTGAGAGCTGGGCCAGCCCCCAACCCCCTCCGCTTGCTCTGAACCCTGGCAGGGAGTGGGAGTGACCAATGGAGGGGTCAGCCTGTGGGTTTCAGCAGACGAGATGGGGGATCCATTCTCTCCCCACCCCTCCTCTCTACCCCCTCCGCCTTCACTTGCGCTCCCACCACCACCCAACACACATCAGAGAACAGCCCCGTATGCCCGTGTGTGCAGGGTGAGGCTGAGCCCTCCTGAGGCCTCCACTCCAGGAGAGACCCATCCCTGAGAGCCCCTGGGCTCCGGAACCCTGTTGAAGAAAAAATTATTCATGACACTCGTTAAAGACGGCAAGGAAGCCTTTATTCAAGGGGGGGCTATTGAGATAGCTAGAGGGACCACTGCACCAGGGTCTTGCAGGGGAGAGAGAGATTGGACGCCCCCTCTGAATACTACAAGAAAAAGTGGGGGTTTATAGCCAAGGAGCGGGGTGGGGGCAGTGGATGGAAGATTACTAAGAGGAAAGGTCAGGGGTGAAGGGGGATTCCGGCCAAACTGACCTCACAGGATTCTTGCTGAAGGTAATTCAGGGTGATCAGACCCCCCCCCCCGGGGGGTTGGTGGGAGACGAGGAACCATGTTAGGTATTGAGGGTGGTCAGATATGGATGATGGGCGATTCTGCTTTAAACTGACTTAGCAGGATGCTTGCTATAATTGGACAGTGCCGAGATGGACACTGAGGCCCAGGACTTGAGACCGAGTTGAAGAAGAGCTCAGAGGATCCTTGAGTGGAGATTGGTCAGGGAGAGAGTCTTTGTCCCTCCCCCGGGAAGGGAGGAGACCTGAGACCCATGTTGGGTGAGGCTGGAAGGGGGCTGCTGGGCAGACTTCCTGGAGGAGGCGAATCTTTTGGGTGTAAGTTACAGCAAACTCAAGAGGTTTAAGCAACAGGTTGATTTATCAGCTCACGAATGTGCCAGGTCATGGGGGCTGGCTGCACTGTGATGCCTCATGCTCTGTCTTCTGAGCCCTGCCTTCCTCAGGGAAGGTCTCTCCACCCCATGTCATCAGTGACAAAGGCTGGTTTCATCCCCACTCAGCAAACCCAGCAGGAATGCTTTTCCACCAGCACCCCCAAAGCCCCAGAGGTTCAGGGGTGCATCAT